ATTGCCCAACCTGATATGCTATTGACCTGCCTAACACACTATTGCCCAACTGATAAGCTATTGGCCTGCCTAATACACTAAAGCCCAACTGATAAGCTATTGGCTGCTAATACACTAATGCCCAACCTGATATGTTATTGACCTGCCTAATACACTATTGCCCAACCTAATAAGCTTTTGGCCTGCCTAATACACTATTGCCCAACCTGATATGCTATTGGCCAGCCTAATACACTATTGCCCAACCTGATATGCTATTGGCCTGCCTAATACACTAATAATTTCCACCAGTCACCTAGACTTAGCTACATCGCATACATACATCTAAGCAGTAAATCTCAGACATTTTGAAACAACATTGTTACAAGACACTACAAGACATAGCATGAAAAGTAAAACTAAGGGACGAAAGCAATAAAAGTTGAGACTAGACATGAAAATCATTAACACTTACGGCTGGTTTTTCTGCCAGTAAAGTTCCCAGTTCATAGCAAGCATATGGTGCCACATGGGGTTCGTAGCAAAAGGCTGACATTGCGTCTTCAAAACACTGCAATAAACATTCATAGGTTCATGGTAATATAAATGGTTATAAACGGCAAACAAGGGTATGTGGTTGTGAATATAAGACTGCTCTGGGGAAAATTTGCATATTTTGCAGGAGATAATAACCGATCGTTGCGAGAAACAAATTTTCTTGAATTTTATGATTCAGTGAAAAGAATGAAATATTGTGGCAGTGACAATTTCTCAGGGGTTACAATAATTGATGCGACCATGTGTTGTCTGAGTGTATACTTTGCGGCATCTTCTTTATAACCTCATTATTATACATCTTTTCCTCCCAAGGATAGATCATGGGTATGCCAAAATCCAAAAAGTTTAGAACAGATTTAGTGAACTTCTTTGTGTGTATCCGTCAAACCCCAGGGGCTGTCATGTTTGTTTTTATTATTAGAGGGAGCTTATGCGCGTAATTGTTCCATATTTGGAATTTTCATTTCTTAATATGATAGAACCGCAAAATTATGGCAAGCTGTAACTTATGGCGTTACAGTGATAGATGTATAATAATATTGTTTATTGCATCTTTAGAAATACAAGTTTCTATACAACACAGAGTGTCAGTGATTTTCGCGAAATTTTATCTACATAATGCTGTGAAATTGTGAAAATCAAACATTTCACAGTATTTTGCAGCAAAGAATTTTTTACTACAATTTATTTTATTCATAGTGGCATTATTTATGAGTTGTTTAAGATAAATTTTGGTTTTTGCTAAAAATGTCAGAAATTTGAACAGTAATACATACTTCCAAATTTCCAAAAAGAAGCTTTATTATACAGTGATGCATTCAGGTAACCAGGCATAAAGCAGTAACCATGGTGATTTTAACTTAGTTCCTGGATGGAGCTTACCTGCACAGCTGGTTCATTATTTCCCAAAGTCCTATAGATAGATCCTTTCAACAAAAGTTTTAAACCATTGAGGCGTACTTAGAGGGTTTTCGCATTCTGAATAAACCAACAAGAACATTTGCAGCATATTGTCAAATCAAGAGCAGTGTCATTTTCAGAATTGATGGTAATGTATGTGACCATACGATACAGATGACATCATCAATATAAACATGTCAGAGTGGCTCTGTACATAAAACAAATTACTATAAAATATTTTTGCTTGGAATTTATTTTTTGCTATTTTTCACTGAAGGGACAATTTAGTGAAAATAAAATCCAGCGAATACATTTTTTTTTCCCATTCACAACATTCAACTCATCAAAATTCAATGAAAATAAACTCCCTACAAAACAACCGAAAATTAATTCCAGCTAAAATGGAGAATTTTACAGTAATGCAATTAATGACATGGACTGGTAACTTGACAGTGTATGTTTATCCAAGGATCGAGTAAAAGCTAATTTAAATTATTCACCAATTCAGTGGAATTAAATTCTATATGCTATATATTTGTCTCTACAAGAATTCAAGATCTCTGGAAAAGGTTTTTTAAATTATTATTTTCTTGATTAGTTATGCATAAAGATCATTTTTACAGGGGGTCAACTATATCCAGCTTTATTATTGATATAGTACAAATATTGGCATAAGTTCCAGATATCCTTTGGTGATTTGGTGACTACATCTTGTGACAAGGTACCTGTGGATTTTTATGTGCACTGACAACAGAAGCAGTCCTACAGGACCCAGTTTTAAATCCCCTACAGCTACTGTTATATCTGTATTAAAAGCCGCGGCTTCTATTAAAATGGTACAATGCAACAGATGGGATGTGGTTTCTATTGGAGCATCTACACGTATGAGAAATGGTGATTTTTTGGGTCTCAATTGTCCAAAAAGAATGGGTGCGGCTTCTAATACAGATTTTACGGTATGCTGGGAATTTTATAATTTAAGCTTCACCCTATCTTAGGCATCAGGTGAGAGTGACATGCCTTCAATTGGTTCTAAAATAGGCATCTCTAACAGTTAAAATTTACAGTCTAAAAAATATTCAACATGAATATGAATCTAATTTAGGTACCAGGAAATATTGTTTCAAAAATGATGTCTAAATCAGAATACTTATAGTGCTCATCGTTTCCTTGCAAACTAAGCAGTGGGAGTCATACCTACAATCTTCCCGATAGTAAACGAGTGCACTAACAATTGCGCTACACATCAAATTCTACAGATTTCCCCCTGAACACCCTACAATGATTACCTTTTAACATTTGCATCAAGTCATCTTTGTTGCATGTTGGTAATGCTCTCCACAAATACAGGACTTCAATAGCGCAGTATCATATGTGACCTGTCTGGCGTTTTCTTCTTCAACTTCTCAGCCTAACAAGGAACACAAAAATAAGTCATCAACAATGTGTTTTCTGTAAATTCTGATAAAAAAAAAGTCTGACACATGATCTATGCAAAAACAATTTTTCTATAGTAATGAGATTTTGGAATTTTTACTCAAAACTTCTTTCTTGTAACCACTGTTAACCACTCATAATCACACATAACTACAAGCAAAACCTTTTTAACCACTCATAACTATTTATAACTACTCTTAACCACTTAATCATAAGTATACATACCTACTTTTAATCATGCATAACTACTCAACTTTTTTGATTACCATACATGTGACACTAACTTACAGCAAATAGTATATACCTCTAACGTTTAAACACTGGTTTGTTTACTATGTTCTAAATTGATCGTTACATTTGCATGTATTTGCAACTGTAAACAAACACAACTGTAAACAAACACAACTGTAAACAAACACAACTTTAAACATTCAAGCCATTTCTGCCTTATATGCTAACCTGAGAGAAGACATGTTCAACCTTGCTACAATGTCAAGTATAACATTTTTGACTAATGAGCGTTTAGTGCGAGTTATTTTGTCAAGTTCACGTGAATCCTACCAAGGCTATATAAGCCAACTTGTATCATGTTGCTTGCTACTTCTTTAATAATCCAGTCTGTGTTCACTTTTCATTGTGAGATACAATACGTCGTTAGTATACTCAACCGAGTTTCGCTATTTTGTTTTAGTCTGACACAACACCCTCTGTCATCATTGCAGTATCCCAAACCCCTCTACTCTTTCCCCACAACCACTCAGTATGAACATAGACTGCTTCAATATTTTCAACATGTAGATGTAGCAGTATGTCAGACATTTAAAAAAAAAAAGATGGCTGCCAGTCGGCCATTTTGAATCAAATCGCTAAACCACTGCATGTGCATATGAGGACTAATAAAAATATTGGCACTGAATTTTGGGGGAGAAATATATCTCGAAGGTTAAGAAATATTATTTCCTCTATATCATATTTATTATAATATTCAATACACACACAAAGTTGAATTTATTGTCTGGATCATTATTAATATAACTTAATTTAAACCATGTCCATATCTATGTCATTAAAATACATAAATATATGCACTATTAATTGAGTAATGTATGGTATTCAGATTTCCATTTATTGAATGGATCATTAATATTTATATATAATCCCGTGAGATATTTTCTTCAGGTTGACGTCAATAGACACGAGTAATTACCGCCAAAGTTTTATATTAATCCGAGCCATAGGCAAAGATTGATGCTACTATGGTGGTAATCGCAAATGTCTGACTGACGTCAACTTAAGAGAAAATATCACAGGATTATTTATTTATCACGTGCATATTTTCACTGTTCAAAAAAGTGAAATGGCGTAATGTTGAAAGTGGAATTATTGCTGAAATAACACAGAATATAAATATATTATACCGTATACCTTGTATGCTAATTTTGTTGATGCTATGATGTTCTACTTCACTGAACACCTTGTGATGCTGTGTGATGAATCTGGTCATTTGTAATATTTGCTCTAATTCTAATTTTTTTTTCAGTTCAGCCGATTTTATAAAGTACCATAACTTGAGTTTTGGTGAATCTTTTTGCCTATTTTTTTTAAGCATAAATGCTACAGGGGTCGATCAACATTTTTGAACAAAAATTTTATGGCTTTATTTAGTGAAAAGTGACAAAAGTTGACTTTGGAACTAAATGTGTTGAATTAGGGTAACACTGAATGCTTTCAACTTTCAACAACCCGCAAAAATGATTTTACGTGACATTTTTCATCATTGTGGACTTTTACCGAGATGGGAAGAATAATTACCTTTCTGACAACAAATTGCTCCAGCTGGTTAGTCCTCTTCTTTGATAGTTTTGGCACTTCTTTGAATAATTCTTGAGAGGTTTCCACCTGTCCCAAAGCACCCTGACAAACTTTCCACAATAAAAGAAAAAATAATTATTATAAACAAAAATGAATTTAAAATAATGTATAAAATAATATATGACAATAGATCAAAGCATGAATTACATGTACAGGTCCCATACCACAATTTAATTTCCTACAACAATGTAAGCATTTGAAAAGCAGGGCTATTTTACACATACAATGGTTGCCTGGTCGGACTTGTGAAATTATTTTAATTATTATCTTAAAGGAAATATCAAGGCTAACAACATAATACTCCCAGATGAAAGAGCTCAGCAAATGTAAAGACATGCAATATACAGTTTATTTATATCACTTTTCATTCTCTAGATATTCAACTTTTCGCTAGTATTATGTAGTCCACCATCTTGGTTTTTCAGCAAAGGATTATGGGTAAAGTATGACATCACATCCACTGTTGTCATAAATTGAGAAAATGATTTGAGAATGAAATTGAGGAAATGATATACAAAAACTGTAAATTGCATTCTCCTACATTTGTGAAGGTCTTTCCTCAGGGAGCATTATGTTGTTTGCCATGTCTTCCCCTTTAAGTATGGATTTACCGGTACCTGCTAATAGATATGCATAGTAACACTGTGACCACCTTGATTCCTCTCGTAATCTGTGAATTGGTGACATTGACAAGATCAAGTTACATTTAATAAACATACATGTATCACAACAGATAAATTCAGATCCTATGGTAAATACATCAACTTTTCACATGTTTTTAGTTTCGTTATTTATGCTAATCATAAAATTAAAAGAGCATAATAATGTGAAAACATAATAAAACTTATTGAATCTAGTGATTGTAAGTCAAACATTAGAACAACGAAATCAATACATGGTGAAAATAAATGCATTTACAGTTTAAGTGGTTAGATTTAAAAAAAAATACACAAAATTAATGTAGATTACATCTGAATACTAGTAAAGTCAGTGAGTCTAAACAAGATCAGAGAGTATTGTTGTGGTTCTGTACAATTATGGTTTTCTTGGAGGTGGACAACCAGGCATTTTCACCACCTAGCAACCACAACCAGTGAAGACAACAGTTAAAATCTTTCAAAAAAATTGTACTTTGGGATAGTTGTTGAGACTCTCCTTAACAGTGTAACAAGATTATCAATACATGTGCAACATATAATAATTTTGGTTGTTCATAGAATTGTCTCATGGTTGAGTTGTGCTGTTTTAGCTATTTTTGGCGTTCCACAGCAGCTCGCGCAGAGCTCATAGAGTTCATAGGATACAGTGGTGCACATCTTATCAACGTGTAATGTCTTGTGACGTAGCACTGCCCCTGAGAATAAGGCGTTGAGAAAATATAGTAAAACAATGGTAGTACATTTTTTACTTTAAAATAAATTTCACATAACGTATTTACATTTTAGCTACTGGTATAAAACTAGGAGGTGACCTGCTCTAACAAAATTAGGCGAGGGTTCTTCGCCTATTCACATAGTTCATACCCACCATAGACTCCGGTCAGTCAAAATGACTATTTTGAACTGTAGGCATTAATCAGCGATTCTGCCGGTGACGGAGAGATAGAATCCAGGTCAGGGGAAGCCCCATGACCTCAAGATTCTTTTACCCCTTACGTCACGAACCCACGTGACCGAGGCCACATGGCAACGCCATAGGCAGCCGTCCATCATTCCTTTCTCTCCGCCTCGAGGACTTAGACCAACGCGACGGAAAGAGTGGGGAGG